GAGTGCCAGGCCCTGCTGAAGGAAATCAACAAGAAATCCACGGTGGGTTGGATGATTTGCGCGCAAGGGGCGGGGATCGCTTTCGGCCGCCGGCTTTGTTGCCAGTGGGTTGGTCCGTGCGTTCGGGCCGTTGGCGTTGGTTCCGGCATCATTCGGGTCGTGTGTTTGGCACAGGCGCGCCCCATGACGCACGACATGATGAAGAACTCGCTGGATCTGTTGGGCTACAAGGTGAGGCGCTAGGGGAGTCGCTTGTCGCTGCCGGGGAGCCCCGAATGCCGACATGCCGCCGATTGCGTGGGTTTCTGTCCTCGTTTGTATTCTCCGGCCAGAACGTGCGGTGGCTGGAAACGCTGGGCGCGCGGCGGGGCGAGAGAGGGGAAGTGAGCGCTGGCGAACCGGCATGGGAGATCTCCCTTCAGTCTTGACGTACTTGATCCGGTGCTTCTCAAGCCGTTCTTTTCCACGCCGCTTGGAGAGAGAGATGCCGAATCGAATATGCTGCTAGGCGCGCACCGGCCATTCAGCCCACAACGCTGGCTGCATTCCTTGCAACCCAAGTCACAACTCCTGATTCGCCCACTCGGGGTCGCGGGGCGGGTGGCCTCAGGCCATCCCCCAAGGCTCAAGGCCCCTGCTCTGTCTTCCCGATGCAAATTCCTTCAATAGGAGTTTCCAACGCGAAAATTCCAACAAAGGAACTTGGGGTGCGGCCTCTGCCTCCACAGGTGAGCAGAGTGCGCGTGACCGCCCTGGTCGGCAACACCTACCACGCCCGGGTACACTACAAGCGCGCCAGCGACAATGGATCGGCGGAGGATGAGGTGGACGTGGACGCGCGGCCTTCGGACGCCATCAACCTGGCCGTGCGGTTCAACGCGCCGGTGTTTGTCAATCGGGGCGTGGCAGAGAGGATGGCGCACTCGGTGCGGGGGTACGAGCAGCCCGCCCTGGACGTCGTGCGGAGCTGCCGGGAGGAGATGAAGCACATCAAGGACCCCACTGTGATGCTGAAGCTGCAGCTGCAGATGGCCATCGCAGAGGAGAGATATGAGGACGCCACCAGGTTGGTGGACTATCAACGCAGTGCTTTTGGCCTGTTGTGTTGCTGAGTGTGTTTTCTGTTGCCTTCAGCCACTTTTGTTTCTCTTGAGATTCAAAGTTGTGGCTTGAAAAGTGTGCCAATTTCCCAGCTCTTGAGCCCAAGATGATGCAAGGTTGCTTGCATTGGGGGTTGGGGACGACAATTCTCTTGTCAAGTTTCAAAGAGTGTCAATATGCACACCCTTCTGAGCTTTATCTGATTTCATACTGTTGTGCATACTGTGCTGGATGATGCATATATGCAACCAGGTGAGCAAGTTCTTATTCAGCTCTTGCGCTGTACCAGATGATGCACCTGTGCCATTGGTTGGGGTAGGTTCTGCTGGTCACTATTCTTGCGCAATTTTTAGACGCTGGAACCCAAAAGGCAGTTCCTGTTTGCCAGACCCTAAGGTGGTGCAATGCTACACGAATTTGAGTCGGAGCAAATCCCAAGCTGTGTTTAGGAAGATCGCCTGAGCATTCTTGTTGGATGGTGGATGCCTGCTGCTTGACTTTCTGGTGTCTGTGGAAACCTGTACAGGCTGAATTTGTCAATATCATGACAACGGGCTGCCCTTTCAGCGAATGGCGATGTTGGGCGCTGTTCTTGTTAACGGGTGTCTTCTAGTGTCTGCAACATTCAAAACAAAGTGGGCCTTGCGAATGTGTGCACTGGCTCCAGCTTGCAACTGGTTCCAGTCACAAAGGATCGGATACTTCTGAATCGTATTGACAGCATGGAATGGTATTATTCACTTTGCACAGGATTTGGGCGCAGATGTATCCATTGCAAGTTAGTGGCGAGTGAACCCTGTTGCTCCTACAAAAGTGGACACTGTGGCATGGGCTTCCAGAACATCCACAGCAACTACAGAGAGGCAGGCCACATGATAGCAGAAAGTCCAGCAAGAACATTGTGTCCAAACTCGACCCTGAATCACCTCTTGTTTTCATTTACATCTCACTTTCTTGCGCTTTCTTGTCAGGTGGCACAAGGCCCACATCACTATTTGTGTTCAAAATGGGGCGACATATGGACCCATAGATATGATGTAATATTTTGGAAATCAAGAATACATGAGCAAAAAGTCAAGAAGACAAATAAGGGGAATAGAATGGCGTGGAAATGAAAACTTGTTTGCTGTTGTACATCAGGATCCGGGATGAGATAGAACAGCTGCTGTCCACAAACAGGGCATTGACACTTGTGGTTGCGCTGGAGAGCGCCCTTGAAGGCCAGCGCTTTGAGGTGAGCAAACGTTCGCTCCGAGACAAGTGCATGCTGTGAAAGTGCCGTGTGAAGATGGCTTGCGATGATTTAGTCATGGTTGAGACTCCCTAGCTTTGTGGAGAAAGCCCCCAAGCCTGTTGCAGCTGCACAACCTAAACAACTTGACCTGAATCAGACTAGACAGCACAAGCTGTGGATGCCGCTGTTAAGCTGTCGTTCAATCACAACGGCCACTGTTGATGAAGAGTGTGCTGCCATGCCAATGTTCAGTTTGGTTAGTATTGTTTGGCTGCTGATGGTCTCCTTGCAGTGGCAGTTGGCAAGGATCAGGAGCACCTGGACTTTGAATCGCGAAAAAATAGTAAGAATTGAGAAAACTTGGACCGTGAGTCTGTGCCTAACCATAAATGTGAACAAATTTATGCCTAAGGGGTTAGTCCTCTGAAATGACTTGCTGCAAAGAGCACTGTTGACTATTGAATGTGTTTAGGACTCCAATATGCAATTTCCTCAGTTTGCAGCACTGCGAGTTCTTCATTCAGTTTGTTCTCCTGGGAGCTTGCTAGCAGTTGGTGGCTCCCCAGCCTCGTTTCTTTGCCCTTGATTGGCTGCTGCATTGGCAGTAGCACAGTCCACAGTGGATCCTTGCATCAAAGTGTTGTGAAGCACGATCCTGCGAAGTGTTGGTCTTGCACGTTATTGGCTCGAATTGGGTGTTTTGGTTGATGAGTGCAGGAGGCCGTCGCCATTCGGGACGAGCTGGTGAGACTGCGGGAGGGTTCGACAGAGACAATGAAGAGCAAGGCCAAGGGGTGGCAAGGGGAGTCGTGACCACAGTGCTGTGGCCTTTCCCCAGCTGAAGAGGCGGGGAAAAGGGAATCATGACAGCGACTGGTCTGACGGTGGATGATATTTGGGTGGTGTGGATGAGTCTGGGACTCAGAACCCCAGGCTGCGGGTGGGTTTTCTCTTGTAGATGTGTGACACCCAGACTCTGGGCTGATTTTGTGCTGTCGTTGCTGAGCTATTCCACAGTTAGGGAGGGCTAGGAGGGAACTTGATTGTACAGTACAGGTCGGTCAGTGGGCGACGAGATGTGGAGAAGAAAAAACACCAGACCCTGGCATGGCTTCTCCAGGCCCTCAGTGCTTGAAGCAAGGCCTGGATGCGGACTGTGCATGAGGAAGCCGCAAGCTCAATGCACAGGCTCCATGCCAGCAATAACGGCTGTGTGCAAGGGAGGATTTGCTGGATCGCAGTTGCTGCCTTTTTTTGCCCCTACTGATACAGTGTGTGGGAAGGGATGGGGAGGGGCACCAAGTGCGTCCAATTTTTGCAGCAGCAGCAGCAGTCTGCTGGCACCGCAGGCAGCCAAATGGGCCAGAGGTTCGTGGAACCTGGGCATGGCGGCACCGGGTGGTTGTGGTGTGCGAGCTGCCATGTATCATTTAGAGACGAGAATGTACTCTAGGGGGCTGCACTTTGTAAACACTGATGAAAATTGTGTGTAGGCACGTTTCCGGTTTTCTTCCACAAGGCATGCGATAAATTTGTATTTTCCATTGTGTTTTTGTGGATTTTCCACCCCTTATCAACCATTTCCTGTGCTATGATTTCGAAGTTTGACGCAAGCGCGTTGCTGGTTCCTTGCTGCAGTCGTCAGCCGAGTTGTATCGGCCCACTTGTGGATTTGGAATCTGTGGTAGGGGTATCCGGCATGCAACCGGCGTGTATATGTAATTTGCGCTATTGTATTTTTCCGTTATCTCTGACCTTTGCTAAAAGTTGAAAGCTCCCCAGTAGTCAGTGCGCCCGAAAACCCAATAACAGACTGCTATATATGCAGTCTTCAAACGAGCTTCCTTTTTTTTCAAGTTCTATTCTAGCTTCAGCAAAAGAACTTGCAAGCTGCAAGCTGCAAACGTCAGCAGAGATTCCGCAACCGACCAATGCATTGCTTGTGCCCAGATTGCGAGAGACACTTGAGTTGTCTCAGGACGCCGGTCAACTGAGCGAGAGCAAACACGCTGAAAAGGGAGGAGAGTCCTCCAAAGTCTTGAGCCGCATGGGGCTGATCGTTTCCCAACATGCAGCACCATTGATGTTAAAACCCCCAGGTACTGCCCGAAATCTGACCTTGTCGACATTGGACAAGTGCCAATGTGGTCCTTCTGCGTCCCCATCCCCCAAGTGGTGCGAGGGCTTTGTTCCCTACTTATTTGGACAATTGCGCTCTGTGGAATTTGCATTCGGCGGCGCAGCATGGGGAACTGAAAGCGGCTGGCAGCGAAGGAAAATGCATCAGCCGACCGCAGACATTCAGCGGACCTGTCCCCAAGCTTCGTTGGCTTGCCAGCCGTGTACTTCAAGATTTCCCAGCGACACCAGCAGCACCCTCTTCAAGCCCCTACTGCACCGTACATGGGGCAACCTCCAGCAAGCGAAGTGAGCGGAGCTGGTGGTGTTTTTATTTCCTCAAGTTGCCATCATTTAACTGTTTCTGTTGCGTGCATATGCATATGGCCCTGCCGCACATGAAATTCAATTGACTTCGACGGCCGCCAAGTTCTGATCAAACGGGACTGCGGCCAAGATCGCCGCATGGTAGGCTTGCCTGGCGCCACGTCGGCCCTCCCCGCCCTGTGCTGCGGCCCCATTCGCGATCACTTCTGGAGGCCTCGCGGCCCACCCCTCCGAGTTCCCTCCCTTGCCCCGCCGCTTCCAGCAACAGCACCGCGCCACAGGCGAGAAAACAAACGCGCGACAGAATAGAACGCCCAATCTCCAGGAAGGGTGGGGGATGGGAACCAATTGGCATGCGGCCCTGATCTTGATTGCGGCGCTGGCGGGCGCCTGGGGCGCCCTGGGGCAGAGCAACGAGCGGTGTGCCGTCGATGGGCCGCGCAAGGATTGTGGTGAGCGGACACAAAATGGGAGGGAGTGGCTTGGGCAAGGCGCGGATGAAGCTCGGGTCGGGAGGGGGGAGAGGGAGGTGGATTGGGGTTTCGCGGGGTTGTAGGCGCCGGTGGGCTTGGGGAGCATGATGGCTGTGCCGTGGGGCCGGGGGGGGAGGGGGGGACGGGGTGGGGTGAGAACGATGCGTGGGAGCGATCAGTTTCTGGTTGCGGTGGATGGGGAAGGGCTGGGGGCGCGATTGGCGGCGATTGCGCCGGTTTGATCGTGGCTGCGTTCTTGGCGGGCGCGATGAGCTCGCCGGTGCCGGGGGCCCCCCGCCGCGGGAGCCGGGGCGGAATCCCGAGCGTGGCAACACAAATCTGTGCGTGTGGCGATTGATGCCGCGATCGTCGACACCTTCCATCCCTCTTGGACCCCAGCCCATCTGACAAAGTCCCTCTGAGAGCAATGACTCTGCTGTCATCGATCGCGTGATGATCCCCTGACGGCTGGCTGGCTGTGGCCCGGCAGGATGGCTGGGGATCAATGACTTGGGCTGCGAGGCCCGCGGCTGCTGCTGGGCGCCCGACTACGACTCCAACAAGCCCTGGTGCTTCTACAAGAGCGCCGTGGCGTCCGCCTACGACATGGTCTCCGTGCGCGAAACAGGTAACTGGCCCCCGCGTGCGCCCCCGTTACGCCGCCGCCAGCATTCACTCGACCATCAGCAACGCCAGGGCCGCCTCAATCGGGGGGGGGGGAGGGGGACGGACGGGGCGGCCCATCCCACACCACGGCATCCCCCTTTGACAACGTTCCAACAGTTGTCGGAGAGTGACGGCCCAGATTTCGCTGCCATCATCCATTGATCCTTTTCTGTCCCCTGGGGTTGGGGAGAGAGGGGCGATGGGGGGGCGGTGGGGGTTGTGAGCCTGTGGGAGCGTCGCGCCGCGTGCGGACAGGGCTGCAGCCACCCGCTCTAGTCTGGGCCCCCGGGCCAGACGCAGGGGGCAGGGACGCCACGAGGCGCCTCATTGGCACGGACGGCCACATGTCGCCGGGGGACCGGCGCCGGTCGCGGGGACGTCCCAGCTTGGCGCACGTGTCAACAACACGGACCGACTTTTTGCCCCAAAGTCGTCTGCACTGTGGTGGTCCGCGGATCGTGTGTAGTAATTGGTATAGGGTTTCGGCGGGTGTAGTAGTTCAAGCGGCTGAAGGGGTGTGAGGTGTGCGTGGCCTCGGGCAAAGGGCTCGCAGCACCGGTGGGAAGCCAGGTGCTGGCTGAAGTGTGATGTGCCGGCAAGGCAAGAGGCGGACCTGGGCCTGGGTTGCTGGCATCTTTTGTTTTTACTTCCAGCGCATTTTATCACATTAATGTTGTGGAACAAAGATGGGGGAGGGCTGTTGTCTTGTGCACCTCACCGCCTGTTGTTCGAGTTTCGTAGATTGGTTGCTGCGAGCAAGCCCGCTGTGAGCGAGCAACAGGGGAGCGTAGCTTCCGAGCTTAAGTCTATATCGTTGTCTACCTTCTGTACGACACCCAGAAGATGGCTGTGTTTACAAAATTGGTGACACCCGCATTTTGGCGTCGCTATCGTCGCCTACAAAGCATGCTCATGAGAAAGACCACCGATTGTGGGCCAAAACGTCAGGTGTGATAATGCCACTGCTACCATTTCTAAGTGTGGAAAGCAGTGTCAAACTGAAGATTTGGATTGTAGCCACAGCAAATAGTCAGTGGACACTTGACATTGCCACTTCTTCAGTGACTATAATCTTAAACGGTGGGCTGTGTTTAAACAGTGGTGAGTCTTTGTGTGGCCTTGTTGCAGACCTTGGACTCGAGGGCGAGCTGCAGCTCACCACTTCCGGGCTGCCATACCTGGGGCATGACATCCAGCAACTGAAGCTGTCGGTCCAATTTGAGACCCAGGGCAGACTGCATGTCAAGATTTCAGATTGGGCAGACAGTCGTTGGACAGTGCCTGAGTCCCTGTTGCCAAGGTGTGTTGAACTTGTGTGTGCAGCCAACTTAAGCCAACTTGATGACAACATCGTGAGCTCATTCTCCAAAGTGCAAGCCTGTCAGGTGGCACTGTGGTTAGGCTTGAGGGTAAGCCCTCAGCTACATCAGTAGATCATGCAAAGCTGTCAACCAAGAGCCTGTGGCAGCTGATGGACGCCTGCGGGGCCGTGGGCTGGGAGCTGCCAGAGGCAGTAAAATGGAAGGACAGTGATCGAATGTGAGAGTAAGTTGGGATTGATTCAGAGAATATCATGGTGGTGAAAATGAGCAGAGAATGAGAACCGGTAAAAGAAATTGAGGGTCATAGCTTGTGGCGGCACAGGAAAGAAGGAGAGTTGCCAGCTGCGGCTTGTGCTGCCTGGACAGATGTTTGATTATTTTTGTTGGTTGCATTTGTCACAAACACATGGCAAACGAAGTGCTTGGACAGATATTGGTGGAGCATGAGCATTGCAAGGACTGGGGTAGGGTGCCAGCAAATGTGAAGGAGGGCGGGAAGGATTGAGGGTGGGGCAAAGCACCAAGATGACACAGTGCAGGCCTCATGTCGGTCCTGCGCTTTTGAAGTTTTACCAGCAAGGCACAGTCGGCATTGCTGGTGCACAATCACTGCGCCATCAGTCTGGAGTGCTGCAGTCCCTTGTGTGTGCTTCCTAGTTACTTGCACATTGTGTGTTTTGGTCACATTTGATGTTACCCCTTGTAGAATTCAAGCCATTTCAGCTTGAGCATTCTACAGTTGGACTGGAGTTCATTGAAGATATCTTGGAGCTTTGTTTCTTTGTCGATTTGATCTCGTGCACTGTTGCAGCCCCATGACTGCTTGTTCCGGGCTCCCTCTGTCCATAGGCCGTCAGTCTCCACTGCTGCTAGCGATCCGCTTTATGCCTTCAACTATCAGCAGAGCCCCTTCAGCTTCTCTGTTATTCGAAAGGAGGATGGCGACGTCTTGTTTGACACCACGGAACACAGGTGTGTTTCCTAGCCTCGCCTTCACAGTCTTGGCAAGAGTGAACAAGCAAGTATATCCTTGGCAACAGAAGCCAGACTGGTACAAAGCTAGCATCTTTTGGTGTGTTGTCACAGCTCAACAAAGCTCTTGAATGAGTTTGGCAAGAGCAGTATGTGACGTGCATGTTTCAATTCTTGGCTGGTGATATGGTTGCCAGGGTGGTGGCAAGAGCACCCTCTCAAATCTGCCCTTTCCTTTTAGGCTTTCCTGAGCAACACATCATCCATGTTGTGTTGACAAGCTTCTGCTTCTGGTGGATTGCCTTATTTTGTCCTTGCTTGCTGCAGCCTTTTCTTCAAGCAACAGTACCTGGAGCTGAGCTCGCCCATTGCGGAGTCTGCCGCTCTGTATGGCATCGGTGAGTATAACGCGTATGAATCAGTGCATCCTTAGCAGGAATAACAATTACATTGCTCGTTTGCTTCTCCTAGCGTGTTTTTGCAGCTGGGTAAAGTCACACACAGTTTGCATTGGGGTCAGCATGCTCGGGTTGGGTCCAACAGCACTGAGGGCATGGCACTTGTTGTAGTTCATCCAGGGTACATCATGAGTCTGGTGCCAAGGGAGAACCATTGCTGAATCAAAGCTCTGAACCATGAATCCTGTCAGTCATGGTCTGTGTGTGAGAGTTGTGTATATCCCATGACTGCATCTGCAAGAACTTATTGAGCACTATGCTTGGATCTGTAGGGCAATGCCGGGGATGAATGCATTTGCAAGACATCTGGATTGTGATCTCTGTTAGCAGCGAATTCTGCAGCAACATATGTTTGGAAACTGGCCAATGTGTTTGCAATTCGATGTCAGGCGTGTGTGCACACAGGATACCCAGCATTCAGTCTCTGCCACTGTCAAGTCCAAAGTAATGTCTAGCACTAATGTTGATTCGCTCCTTGCTGTCTAAGCACTCTAAGCACTATGCGTACACTTGAGAATTGAGCAGTCTGACCACACCTCAGCACAGGGATTGCCATCTTTGATGTTTTACTGAAATGGAATGGCAGCCACCCAGCAACTGGACTTTGGTCTCACTGCCAGGCTATACAATAGCACAATCGGCACAGTTGCTGCTGCCATCTCATTGTATCAGACGGTATGCACTTCATGGTGTCACAGCTGCTCTTACTGTCACAGTTCATCAGGACTGTGTGTGCTGCAGATGCCAAGGCACAAAAGCAATGTGGATAGCATTAACTCCCAAAGGGGCTTGCTGTTGACTCACTGTGGCATTGTGGGATGCAGGCGAGAGGACACGCAGCGAGGGCATTCGGCTGCAGCGCGATGGCGTCCCCACCACCCTGTGGAACAAGGACACGGCTGCCGCTAATGCAGACACGAACTTGTATGGCTCGCATCCATTCCTGATGGCCATAGCAGAAGGTGCCACCCCACCCCCAGCCCACATGGCGCGTGATTTTTTCTTCTCTCAAAAATGTAAACCAGAACAAAATGTAGAAAATGAGAATGAACCAGTATTTATCATCACCTTGGTATTGTAATATGAGAAAGGGAGAATAACATTGTCTTGGGACGGTCGCTGTTGGTCAGCTTTGATTGAAGCGTCAACCCTAGAAAGCATTAAATTTCTGTCCTGTGCTATACATCCCAAGAGAGGCCCACAAACACCAAGGCGATCCCTGAAAGGGGCAGTGTTGCCCACCTGAAGCACCCGAGCTCTGTGGTGGAGTGAGTATACAATCGGTCCCTAAGTTTCCACAAGTCATTGAATTAGAACGAAAATCTGTATAATCAATATGTAGACTACAATAATATGTGAAGAAATCATGTAACAGCGTAATGCACGAAAACCCATGTGCACACCGAAGCCAAGGTGCTGATAAGGCAGGGCTTCCAGCAGAAGGACAGAGGGAGTCCTGTATTCTTGATGGGTTGCATGGCCTTTGAGGAATCCCGTTGTCACCAAAGTCGTCTTGTGTTGAAGTACTGCGGACACCTGGAAGGTGAAGAATGTTCGAGCCAGAGTGCCAACAAGCATGTCCTCCAGTAAACCTTGCTTTGTTGGAAGGAGACTCATCAGACGTCACAATCTGAGGATACAGCCAGGAATCAACAGGCTGGAGGAAATAGAACGGATGTGTGCACAGACGCACCAGCGATTATCAAAGACAGAGGATGTTTGTCGCACAACAGTATTTAGCAATGAGTTTTGAGTGTTTTAGCAATGAGTATTCACTGTTTCAAATCTATTTAGAGGGGCACAGTGCTCAACGTCTTGAAAAAATCTTGGATTTCAAGCTTTGGAATGTGAGCAGAGGAAGATAGCAAAAGTGTAGTGTGTCTGCGCCTGCTGTGCTGAAATGCTCCCTGGTCCTGCTTTTGCCGCAGGCGGCAACGCTCACGGAATCTTCCTGCTGAACAGCAATGGCATGGACGTGGTGCTGGACAAGTCGACCATTTCCTACAGGTCTGCCCAATTTTTCCAAGCCTGTGTTCTGATCTGAATGCGTTAGTCCCCATGAAAGAAGATGGCGTTTGAACTTGTAAGATGGCGATGGCCACACGTGCAAGCTCGAAACTCATTACAGAATTTGCAAGTCAGTGATCCACTGAGTGGTTGTGACAGTGGTAATGCGGTAGTGGCAGTGATAGTTGTTGTGGTGGTAGTACCGTATTAGAAGCAGTAGTGGTGGGTAATCTACTGAGCCCTACTGCACTCTGCCTGCTGCCCTGTGCCCATCCCTAGCTGCATTTGGGCAAGGTCAGTGCTTCGCATCGCCTGGTCACATCATCAATTCATCAAGCTGAAAGATGCGCTTGCTGAGTGTCTTGCTAGGGCTCTGGGGGGCGTGCTCGATTTCTATTTTTTCCTGGGGCCTACTCCAAGGGAGGTCATTCAGCAGTACCAAGAGGTCATTGGCAAGCCAATGATGCCACCAGGCTGGAGTCTGGGGTTTCACCAGTGCAGGTGCGTGAAATTCTGTGCATTCAGTTCGTCAATATGGTCATGACTGACCAAGTTAGTGAATTGTGCAAGCTAAGGCAGGTGCTGAAGGATCATTCAATATTTTTTTAGTGTCCCACTTATGCTGCAACAGTTCTATGTTAGATCTTGACATATGAAAATTGGTAGCAGTATTTGGTATTTTGAATGCAGGCTGTGTACCACCATGGTGAACGTGTGGGGCCCCAGGCAATCAGATGTTATGTTATCTTTGCCAAGTCAGACTGAACAGAATTGTTATTGGCGGAAAAGGGGCCCACATCATGCAGAGTGCATACCCCAAGACAAGGTTTCAGCATGTCAGTATCAATATCTAAGTTGTATGTGAGAATCTAATCATCTAATACCCCAGTAATATTTTAATTGTCTGAATCAGTATGCAGTGTCTAAGTTGTTTGGTACAAACCCAAAGTACCAAATGCTGCATCTTGTATTCAGCTGCCAGATAAGATATTGTGCTTGGTCTAGATGCTCTCTTCAATCGTGACTGTGTTTCCTTTTTCTTCTGAGAATCTAATCATCTAATACCCCAGTAATATTTTAATTGTCTGAATCAGCATGCAGTGTCTAAGTTGTTTGGTACAAACCCAAAGTACCAAATGCTGCATCTTGTATTCAGCTGCCAGATAAGATATTGTGCTTGGTCTAGATGCTCTCTTCAATCGTGACTGTGTTTCCTTTTTCTTGTGAGATGGTGGACAGAGAAGAAGAATGCGGATCTGGCTATATTCTGAAGTTTTTTGTTGAACTATGGAACTCGTAGGTGGGGATACCGCAACGTACAGGAGCTGGACACCGTGATCGAGTCTTATCGGGCAGCAGACATTCCCTTGGAAGCCATGTGGACGGACATCGACTACATGGACGGCTACAGGTTGGGCCTCCTATCTATTCACCTTTTCAGCTTTCCCTTTCTTAACCTTTTTCTCACCTTCTCACCTTTCTCATGCTTTTGGCTCCTTTCTACCTGCTTCAGCCTTTCTTTCCCTTTCAATCCTTACCTTGTGTGTTCCAACATATTCTCCTGATTTCCTGGCCAAGTAGGATTTTGCACATGCCAGAGTCTGATGGCAGTTCTGGGCGAATGCCGCGCAAGTGAAACATGTTCCAAGGCATTTGTAAGGCATGCAGTGTTGTAAGAGCATTGGCGATGCATTCGGCACGTAAATATGCATTCTCTTTATACAAGTTTGGGTTGTTTAGTAATGTGTTTGCAATCTACATTTATGAATGGGCAACTGCAGGGATGTGAGCAACGCCCAACTGCCAGGGGCTGTGGCTTGGTTGTCAAATAGAATCGCCAACTCAACAAGTGCTTAGGCTTGTTGATGGCAGTATGGCAAACCACTTAACAACTCAACACGTGACACTCATGAGATTGAATTTGCGTGCTAAAGCAACACCAACCACCTTGTGCCATTGAGGAGCATTCACACAAAAAAAGTAATCTGTGACTATGACGGCCCCAGGGACTTCACGCTGGACAAGAAGAACTTCGACCTGTCGCAAATGCGCGCGCTGGTGACTAAGCTGCACGATGCAGGCCAACGCTGGGTGCCCATTATCGACCCTGGCATCAAGGTGGACACGGGCTACCCTGCATATGATGACGGCATCAGGGAGGACATCTTCCTCAAGGATGCGAACGGGAAGAGGTACATTGGAAAGGTGGGACCTAGCACAAGTGCTGGCCTGAACTGCATTTTTTTCATGATTGGAGAGCACTGGCCAGTGATGCATTGGCAAGTGTGTAAGAATCTCTTGCTTGTATGTTGTGGCAGCACACTTCTCCAGTGCTTGAGAAGCACAGTGGTAGTTGTCAGTGCTTTGTGAGTATTCTAAATATTTAGGTATTGTGGATATGCAGGACTGTAAGTACCAAAGAAATGGTGCTTGTTTTACCATGGTATTCATAGTGTGTCATCAAGAGCGACCAAGCAGTAGCTACGAACCTACCTAGGGATGTTGGGCATATAGCTGCGGATACAATGTCCCGACTGCAGCCCCTGTGAATGCCACAGTCCAGAATTATGTCCATTTGCTGACAGCTGGTGCAGGCCGCTGACAAAGTGAGAGTGAGCGACTTTCCCCCTTGACAACTCTTGCCAGCCAGCTTGAGATAGCTGTCCCTGTGTCTTCCAATGGATTGACAATGCCACCAGATGCCACTGTCAGGAGACAAATAACTGCGATCTGTGATTGATGTCAACTGGATTCCAAGCAAAGTTGGTTGCATATGATTGGATTGGAATAGTTTCCTCTGTTTTGTCCTTTAAAAAACACAGATATTCTTGCATACAAACGTACACTTTGTGCTGCCTCTGTCAAAGAGGGTGCTGGTTGGAATCCGAACATAGTCGGCACCGGAGAGCTCCAATGTTTGCCAACCTTCCTGTACCAGCTGTACCTATTGGCATGCTGCTGACTCCTGTGAACAGCCGATGATGTCCCTGACAATCCAGACATGGATAGCATTTCAGAGCTTCATAGCATCACCTCCGACAGGAAATCTGCCATGCAATGAAGCTTCAGGAGTTGTTGTCCATATAAAGTCTTGTTGATATATTATCCCTCTGAGTAGCTGCATTGACACTGCCTCCTTGTGTTGAATTTCCTTAGCAGAACCCTTGTGTATGAATTCCGCACAGAATGCTTTTATCTTGTGCCATGACACTCCCAATGTGCGACATTGCACAATACAGGGAATGCAACAGAGAGCTGTCCATTGTGTCCTTATCTTGCACCCCTATTTTGTTGCCTTAGGTTTGGCCTGGGGCAGTGCACTTCCCGGATTGGTTCCACCCTGGTGCCCAGGACTATTGGACCGCACAGCTCAGGCAGTTCCATGACAACCTGGTTCCCTTTGATGGGATATGGATCGACATGAACGAAGCGTCCAACTTCTGTCAGGCACCTGGAGAGGCGCTTCAGTCCAATGGTATATCTTAGCTGTTACTGTTTTCCAAAAAATTGCAAGGAAAGCTTGCAACAATGTGAAGTGCTGTACTTAATGCAGTGTTTTGCTGTAATAAGTATTGTGAAGCACATCACGGCTCAGAGCGATGGTGCCATCCCCATCCTTACAGAGATGTGGGCCTTGTGCCAGCTGACAAAAGAGTGCAAGGCAAAGTGCAAAGTCAAGAAGACTGTTTATATCAGAATGATTGCTCGGTCTCAAAAGAACAGAAATTTGCACTGGCGCATATGTGGGGGTGGACAGAAAAGGAAAGGAAAAGGCTGTGTGCTGGTGGGTGGGTGGGTGTGGCATGTGGACGTGTGTGGGGGGGGAGAATCGGCATTTCTGCCAGATCGCAGTGGTGTTTTTCTTGAAGGATCTGAATGAAGAGCATGTTGCTGTTTGTATTCCAAATCGTACTGCATGGTCGTTCGACATTCAAGGGCGCTGCATTTCTGCCTGATGACACCTCCATACATTCGCAGCACACAGGCCTTGAGGCTCATTCCCTGATTTATTTGTATATCGAGAGCATTACAGCACATTTAGGAGTCGAGGTGTCACCCCCTGCTTGATGCCTGATTCCTAAAACGTGATGTAGTATTGTGAAATCAAAAGGAATAAGAAGCTCATAATTTTGCAGATTTTGCAGCTTTCAAATATTTGTAGAGGATTCCTGTCGTGGGTGTTGCACTGGTGCTGCAGCAACCCACTGTGAAGATGATTAGTTAGTCATGTTTGCGGAAATATCGCCTATACCCTTGATTGATGATCAAAAGAATACTGCTGAATTCGTGCTGCATCCATCCAGGCCTTGGCCGACGAGGATTGTCCGAGGCTATTGCATGCTCCCATAACATCAGGTGAGCATAACTCCAGGTGCAGTTCCACAACATGTGCTGGAAAGTATTAATCCATCACAAAGCGTAATAATAACACATCATTAACTTTGATAGATGTAATTAAATGCAACGAAATGTAATTAATCCATGGCTAAATGTAGCAAACTCGTTGTCAAATTGGCCAAGCTGAACTTGGCACATGTTTTCATGGTTAATACTGTGTCTACAGTTTCACATGATTAGGCTTGCTCTTGGAGAAAGAAGAAAGTGAGTCATGCTGTGTGCAGTTCTCTCCTGACAATGTGGCAATGTTTTCCTGGTCCACTTGATCACTTGTTTGCTACTCGATGGCAAGGAGCACTGTCTGAAAAGGAGTTTCACTCAGGAAGGTTGTGCCCAATTCCCCACTGCAGAAGCCGCAGTTTTCAGCATATTCATGCCCTTATAGCCGTGCTGCAGCTTTAGATGGTCTTCCTATTGCGCACCAGTCTGTTCCGTGTTGTATGCCTTGGCATATCCAATTACAACAATGCAGTATACGATCACGCAGCTCTGCTTCTTTCTGGTTCCCATGACTGTGAAGCAGCTGTGAAATAGATGGTAGCGATGGGTTTGTACTGCTGAGGGGTGAAAGGATGGAATTGCGGAAGTTTGTTTTCTCTTGTTTCGTTTTGGCATTTTGCATCCTGGTGAAGATCAGGATTCATTATTGCAGGAACAAAGTAGGCAACAGAAAAGGGTACTTCTGCAAAGCAACATTTCATGATGCATATACCTAGAAAAAATAAAAAGATAATGCAGTATACACAAACAACAGATGTGTAATTGACTAACAGAAAAGTGGTAGGGACTGGATGCATAGTGAATGGCGTGACTCTGTGCCATGCTGCTAGCAGACAGCACAGGCCTCTCCTACCCATTTGAGAGTTTGTTGTGGCATGTCTGATTTGCTCCTCAGCCTGCGCCTCAACCTCGAGCACCCACCGTACCGCATCAACAACGCAGAGAAGACAGCGCCCCTGAGTGAGAAGACCATCCCAGTGAGCATCGTCCACCACGATGGCACCTTTGAGTATGACGCCCACAACCTCTACGGATTCACTGAAGCGCAGCTGACCCACAGGGCGCTGGAGGACATCCTCGTTGAGCGGCCATTTGTCTTGACTAGGTGAGCGTGGACAAAGTTGTTTAACTGTTCCGTTATTGTGCCACAGGGTGCTTCCTGTGATTGGAGCCAACGGGTTGCTTGATGAACTCACTCCATACAGAAGGTGCACCCTTCGTGGGGCAGGTGGTGCAAGGGTTAGTGCATAGCAGCACTTTGCAGTGCCAGTTTTCATTGCATGGGTGCCCTGTGAGCTTGCAACATAGATGGTATCTTGGATACCCTCATGTTCCAAGCTGATAGGAATCATGGACATGCTGCATCATGGTCTTATTGTGCCTCGCTGTGCACACTGTCCAGTTGGATGTATTCAACTGTTATACTGTGATATGGAAGCTAGATTTTTGGAGTTGGTTGGGGCTGCCTCTATCACTACCTTCAAAGGTGCAATGTGCTTTGAATGGATTGTGAATGGATTCAATGTTTGAAGGGAGCAAGTAACGTGCAGAATAAGGACAAATCTGTGGAATCACACACATAATGCTTCTTCTGTAGTCCACTTTGTTCTCTTGTGTGTTTGGCCCTCTTTCTTGGGTTTAGTCTGTTTGCTTCGGCAAGTTGAATTGACAAACGGCAAACATGGAACTTCATATTCCCCAACGGTATGAAACCTCCTGTTCCATGTCCAACATATATAAATTGTTTTTGTCCATTTGCCATAGGTCAAGTTTCTCAGGTTCCGGGCAGTACACTGCCCACTGGAGCGGGGACAACTCAGCTACATGGGATGATCTGAGGTGGTCGATCGGCTCCGTTCTCAACTCAAACTTGTTTGGGATGCCAATGGTGGGGGCTGACATCTGCGGCTTCAACTTGCAGACCACTGAGGAGTTGTGCACAAGGTAATGGGACTTGCTGCAGTCCTCACCACAGCACAGCATTTCCAGGCGAATGTTTCCACAGACATGGGAGTAGCACTGATGAACAAGGACATCTGAAATGCGCGAAATGCAGATATGACCCATTGCCTTGCAGCCGATGATGGCTGTGGAAAATCTATAGTGAAAGACAAAAAGTCAAGTAACATTGGGTGAACGTTCTCTTTGGCTGTTGTTGCCTGCACTGTTCAAGAGAATTTGTTTGACATGGCTCTGCTGATTACTGCAAACTGCTGAGTTTATGGGATGCAACAACCCCCTGTAGTGAAGTTTGGTTATTGATTGGATATTGAACTACTCATTCAATTGAATGAGTTTCCAATATGTAATGGAAATCAGCACTAACCTGCTCACTCACTGGCACATGTTCTAGCACCACTTGCACCCTAAGCGCACCACAAGCTGCTGTGTCTGCACTATGTTGGTCGATCTTGCCCTCCCTGTTCCTATGATTACAGCAAGTGAAAGCAGCCACTGACACAAAGTGATAGACCGCACACCAGTCATGGCACTTGTCAGATGTGCAGATGACGTTGGTCTTGTCGGTGGCCTAGAAAGGCAATGGTTAGCGAAGAGAGTACCCCAAAGCACATACTGCAAGAGCATGCAAAGTACATGGGGCCCACACAACGACCAGGGGTTTCCCGCGCAATTCCCCGGGGGCATGTGGTTGCATCCTCATACTTGTCTTCATGCACCCCAAAATGCACTTAAAACACTTGTGCCCAAGTTAGCAATGAATCACCAAGCACACCGGGTGCCCAGGTGGATCTCCCTGGGGGCATTCTACCCATTCAGTCGTGCCCACTCTGACCACTACCCCCAAGAGCTGTACCTGTGGGACACCGTGGCGAATGCAGCACGCAAGGCCCTCAAGATGCGCATGAGGCTGGTCCCCTACCTCTACACAGCCTTCAAGAAAGCCAACACGGAGGGCGGCATGGTGGCTTCACCGCTGTGGTATGAGTTCCCCACGGATGCCAGCACCTATGACAACAGTAGGCAGTACCTGCTGGGGAGCGGCGTGTTGGTGAGCCCTGTGCTGGAGAAGGGACAGGACCATGTGGATGCGTACATCCCTGAGGGGACGTGGTACAACATTTGGGACTATAGCGCAATCCAAGGTGTGTTGTTGGCTTTTCCTTATTGTGTGCTTTGCTTCCTGTTTATTTGGGCATTTTGTGTGCTGGTTTTCCTATGTATCTCCTTTGTGTGTCTGTTGTTGCTGTTAAGATTTATGTGTTTCTTATTGCATGTTTCTGTGTGTTCCTTCCTTTACTTTTGGCTTTACCAGTGTGGCATTTATCACCTGGCAAGTACAGGGTACATTCCTTCCTTTGTTCAGTGTGGTTGTGGCTTCTTTCCTTCTTCTGTGTCAAGCTACTCATCATGGCTGTGCGCCAAAAGACAACATGAATCTGTATGCAGGTGCGAAGTGGTGCACACTTTTTCCCTGGCCTTCTACAATGCAAGGCAACAAAACAGCCCTGGAAACCGAAATCAAAGTTGATTTTGTCAGTGCGGTAACCCTGTACAGTGGCAGAGGAGTTTAGCACAGAATGGCGAATTCAATGTGGGGTCCACACGGAAAGGCGAATTCTACTTTAAGTGCATGCTCAGTCACTTGGCAAAGACTGCTCATCCACTCTCAAGACACGAGTTGATGCTGTTCACCTTTCAAGCTATACTTTCCAGAGGTTTCCCAAATACTGAAAACGAAATCCCCTTATGCTGGGACAGGGGTGTTTAAATGCTATGTTAAAATTGCGAGGCAAATTAAACGATGGCCTAAAAATGGTTAGTGGAGAAATCGGTAAAGAAAAGCGATGAATTAGACATCAGCACAGATTTGGCACTGCCGTGATGCAACAACTCGATGTTTCTTTAATGGCAATCCATTTCATGCCGCCAACAGGCCCTCAGACTGCGCACCTGCCGTGTCCGCTGGGAGAGATTCAGGTCCATGTGCGGGCTGGCACCATCATCCCCATGCAGCAGCCTGCCAACACGACCAAGCAGGCCGCAGCTGGCCCGCTGGATCTGATCGTGGCCCTGCCGCCACCTGGGCAGGGAGTCAAGTCTGCAGAGCAGAATGTGGACCAATATGCAGAGGGCGCGGTGTACATGGATGGGGGTGCCATGGCTGTCAACGGCCCAGACAGCTTCACAAGTGAGGATTGTTCGTTAGGCCAAAAGAGAGAATTTGCTGTGCAATGGCTAACTGCTCCTGGAAAAGAGCTTTTGTGGCACTCTGCCCATAAATGAACAAGTTGTAGAATTAGACAACAAATGCTCAGTTTTTCCCCAACAAACTTGGTTGTGATGCTATCTAAAACCATTTGGCAGTAAAAATTGTTCCCATCTTCCCAAAATCGTGGTTTTAGTAGAACAGGATGTTGAAGGCTCTGGGTGCAATGGGAATGGCACACGACACAGTGCAGGGTGAACAGCTAGAATGCACGTGTCAATCGTAGAAGGCAGGCAATTATTCGCTCCTTATGGCAAAACCTGGAGTGCTCTGCAGCGTCATGGTATCGATGAACCAACCAGCCAATGCTTCGAAGGCAAAAAGCCCTCATTTTCCAATTGTTGGGTTGGAATCTACTCTTATGGCAAACCAATCATGACGTGCATCACACAGAAATGAAATCGCCACGCTGGCCAAGTTTGCCACCTGGATTGGCTACAACTGCACTGTTGTCCAATTTGTCTGTATGGCCATCACAAGATCAATGGCAAACATTGTGAGCACACAGACCTCTATTTGCTGATTTCATGGAGAGGGAGCCTCAGGAGCCAAGCGAAAATGTTTCACCCAGTCATGCATTGGTAGAAATTTCTGTGTGTCTCTGGAAGTGTCAGAGGACTTTTGTAACTTAACTGCATCTCTGAATCTTCCACAGTCAACTTCGAGGCACGGGTCTCCGGTCAACGGGGGCGGCTCATGGCGGCACCCACCTTTGGTGGCAATGCCCTCACAGCGCAACACGTGCCCAGCCTTGGCAACGTGACTGTCCTGGGCGTGGAATGTGGCAGCCAGCTGCATGACCCCTTCTGGAAGGAGGCGGCCACCTTTTCGAACGTCATAGTGGCTGGAGTCAGGGTGACAGTGAACCAAGCGGAGTATCCCAGGAGCTCTGTCATGTACGACTCGCAGAGCGGCGTTCTGCAGCTAAGGGACCTGAATGGGGATCTCACCCATGGTGTGGTGATAGAGTGGGGCTGCGAGTACAGCCTCGCAACGGTCTGAACATTTGATGTGAGTGTGGTTGATCGAACCAGTTTTGCTACGACTTTGATGGACTGTTCGAGCCTTCCTTAGAGCCCTGTCAGGTTTGTTGGGAGGGCATGGGAGTGGCGTGGGCATTCGGAGCAGTTCATGCCGATTCTGACAGGGACCCTAACCCTGTTTGCACTTCATTTTGGGGCCTGTCTGTCGCCGTCCAGCAGCTGTCAGGGGCCAGCCTTTGCTCCAGTCCCTGCGAGCGTGTGGAGCATGGGAGGCCAGAGAACGGCGTGGCCCCGAGGAGACCATTCAAAGGTCACGATTTTGGGAGTGAAGACGTGCTTGGGTGCGCGAAATTTGGTGACCATGCGCTTGGTCGACGCTCTTGGCCTTGGGCCCCTTGACTGGCCTCGCCATTCGTTGCACGGTGGCGGGGAGTCGGGGAGGGGGCCGGACGTTGGCCCTGTTGTGTGGCGTGATGCATCGAGGGAAACGACCAAAACGACCGAAGGAAGGGTTGCTGCTGAACGTGTCTGGCTCAACACAGGTTATTGAGTTTCGAAGTTTTGGAGGTTTTGGTAGTTTTGAAAGTTTGGTTTTGGTTTAGTTTGCCACTTCATACATGGGGAAGAGGGATTCGTGGAGGGGGCCGTGGGCTGCATCGGCCCCCGTCCTGGGATGTCTGAACGTTTAGTAACTTGCATGGGCAGTAGATGGGGATGCTGAAGGCATGAATTTTGGTAGGCGTACTATGTGGGCATTAGGGGTTGGACCTCAAGGGGCGATACTCTTTCTTGGGTGTGTGTGATTCTTTCGATTACAGACGCCCGTCCTGATGATTCTGAGGACTTTTGCGAGGGCGCACTCTGGGAATTTTGTGGGGCTTTTGGAGGCCGGTGCTCAGCACGTGGGGAAAGGTGGAAGACAACGGAGCCGGCAGAAAATTACAGCCCGTGAGAAAACATCGAGTGCACCGGTGGCCTGTGTATGACGAACTACCGTCGAGTTTTTGCAAACAAATGGCACGACACAGTCGCAACCCTTTTGTCGAGCGGGAATGGAAGGAAAGTTTATGTGTGATGACGACGGCGCAGAAAGAGTAGTCCGAAGGAAGAGACTGAGAATCTGAAGTGTGATGTGTGGACCTTTGCTTTGTGACATTGCTGGGTCATCGAACATTTGCCGGTTTTCTCATTCTGGCGATGATGCCGACACAGGCACAATTTAGACCCTTTGTTTAGGCTGCGGCATTGCTGATGCGTATGTGGTCATGGGAGCGGCGTCCGGGTAGAGAGAGCGTGAGTGCATTCAGGGCGTTTGCGCCATGAGTTCGTTGTTTATTCCGGACAGCCAGTCGCGTAGTGTGTACAATGCAGACGAATGTGAACAGTTGAATGGTTGATGCACAAAGGTTATGCTACGTGCTTGCTTGTTGTACGACTTTAATCGAACCTTGCTGCTGTCGAACACTTTGGCCAGCATCTCACGGTGGTGCGTTGAACCAGACGAGGTCCGTTTGCTGTCCAACACCGTTGCCTGCATCTCCTGGTCGTGCACTAGGTGACTCACGCCAGCAGCCACGCTCGTGACCAGGCACACGACAAAGGAAGCTTTGGGGAAAAGCGGGACAAGGCGCAGCATTGGCGTATATTACTTCTTCCCAAAGGCTTTGCGAAAGAACACCTGGCGCTGTTTCGCAACACCTATCGGTGCTGATCAGCGTGCGCACTTGCTCGTCGAGCCAAGTCCTGGCACAAAACAATGGACGTTGTGTCTGCATCAATTCTGATCCAACAATTCTGAATTAAGAAGTTCAGAAGTGCGGGTGCTACCCCCACTCTTGCAGAGGGTAGGGTGGAGCGGGGGCTTTGCGTGGGCGGTTTGACTAATCATATTGTGCTATTTTTTTTTGAAAACTGCATTGGTTCAACTGTGGCGGCCATCCTTTGCCACCGCGAGCGCAACATCAGTTTTCTTACCGCTGCAAGCAGCACAGCTTACCCGCTGCCACATTCAACGCAGTAACGAAATATGGGGCTCTAGCTCAAATGGTATGTGATGAATGTCACACAATGACACGGCCACTGCCAAATTAGCCTATATCCATTCAGTTCATTTCGGGATAGTTTATTGAATATCATTGAGATACATCCGGTTTATTATATCATTGTACTGCATTCTCTTTTAAAGCCTTGTCTCCTAACGCTTCTTGATAAGAAGTACAATGGGAATGCATCTTGCAAAGTTGAAGTGATGTTGCGACGTTACAAAATAAACTCAGTTCGTCGATCCTTGACAAGATTCAGATGCATGAGTCCATTCTTGATCAGTATGGATAATAATTATCATCGCCGTTCAACAGGACACCAACGTCAAATTCAAAAGACCACATGTCAACTTTCCGCCCGGGTCGAAACTTCCGCACATGGCTACATTCGCCTACTCCCAGCAACTTCCACCTTGTACCCCTTTCCCCCAAAATGCTTAGAATGCCCTGTCGTAGACATCAAAAAAGCTCTGACCGAACTTATCGCGCATTTCAGCATCATAACATTCACACTGCTGGTGACCATATTAAGCATCTCTTGTGTTGTGGTGAATTGCGCTTCTGCTTCAACGGCCCCCTGAGCACATCCGGTCATGTACTCCCCATGACAGAAATTTACAACTTTACCACAATTGACTGTACTGTACCGAGGACCCCATCCGTCAAGTTTGCCCTTTTGCTTCGTTAGTATTTAATGCCACACAACGAGTGACTCACCCTATGAGTCAGCTCCCTAATCCAGTACTTCACTCCCTCCACTGCCTCTCCATCCCACATCTAAACTGAACACCACTCTCTAGGGCGGGAGGGCTGGGTGCGAAACAACATAAGGAGGGGGATCGATAGGGGAACCTAAATAGCTGCCCCTGTTCAGCCCCGCCAAAACCCGCCAAACCCGAGGACGCCAAGGTTGGTGGCACCTCGTATTTTCGTACTTTGACTGACTCACATTACTGGGGTGACCCGAATTCCCAAGGGACGGGGGCGGAGTTAGCCCCAGTTTCAAACTGCACCGTTTGAATCGCCGGTGCAGCCCACCCGTCGTCTCCCTTGGCAGAAACCCATCAAGAAGATAGTTAATTTCATGCACATATCAAGGACACGGGCATCGACATCCCAGGATATGGACGGCTTATTCCAGGGTCGGGGCACCGATATCCTGGATGTGCATATCCTGAATGTGGTGCCTACACCATATTCGATATCCAAGATAGGGGACCCCCCACCCCCACCCCATCCCATTCCATATCATGGACATAGGGATTTTCACCGCCGGAACGTCTCCCTGCTCAAGATCCACAACATGCCAACTCAAGATTTGGCCGAATGTTTACCAGACGAAGATGCGCATCTTCGTCTCGATTCCTGGTCAAAGCCACTTTGCACCTTGCTTGCGATACCAAGCGGGGGTTTTGGCCCAACCCACTTGATATCCCCATGGGTTTCAGCCACCTAAAGCTTACGCATGAATGAGCCCCCACCCCGTGAACTCATGACATTATGACCAACCCGTCGCAGAGCCCCACTCTGAAATAGCCTCAGTCAAGAAAACCTTCTCGATTGGCGTTCAATATGCTCAATTTCGCGTGCTGGTCATTGGTACATAATTCAGCTGCAAGCACCAATAGTGTAGAAACGTATGGACTGGGCCTAATCGCGTAGTCTACAACGAAAAGTTGGTGCCAGTTGCCACCAACGTGCTATGTTGCACACAATTCTCTACAACTGCTTGAACAATTGGATGAAGAGCGGCTCATGAATGGCCAACTTTTTATATATTTATTGGGTTATTGGATACACACTTTGTTCATTTATTCATTTCCTTATCCTTAGGATAAGTAAACAAAGTGTGTATCAAAAAAATAGCTCATTCTGGAAAAACACATATACTACTATATACTACTAGGCTAGTAGTATATAGTAGTATATGTGTTTATTCCAGAATGAGCTATGTTTTGATCTATTGCAGCACAAAGTCAGCCACGCTCGCTGACACCCCCAGCAGCAGGCAATGCCGTGTGCGTACCCAGGTCAGTACTGCGGTTGACACCAGCGCTCTTGCTGCGAAGGAGGAGTATATTCCTGTCTGGCCTGGTGCGCTAATTGGGAATGGATCACGGGTTAATGTGTCATCCATCGCGAGCTTGATCAGCAGGTCAGCTGACGTCATCAACTTGATGTGGCTCCCTCACCAAGCCTCCCGAGTGTTGCGTCTGCAGTGGGGGAGGCAGCCAGTCAATGAACAAGGTGCTGAGCGGCGACCCAACTCAAATTCGTTGTAGGGCTGATACGCGTCTGCTCCCAATAGGCCGCATCGAATATCAGGAAGGAGCTTGCGTGCATGCCTTCATTGACGAAGACCAAGAGGCACAGCAGAAGCATTGCGCAGCGACTACTGAGGCCAGCACTGCCATCATTCCCCCTGTGGGGACAACCTACTGCTGTGTGTATCCGTTATGTCAAATCGGAGAAGTCCGTTCATTATGTTGCATCATGTTCAACCATCTTCACCCTCAACAGCCTTCCGTGCAAAATGTCGTTAGTGAGCCAATAGCACAATTAGTGCGCAACATCTTGATTTCCAAGCAAATTGTAAAAACATTGTGTTCAATATGTGCAATCGACCCATAATGCAATAAATATGCTCAAGATCAAAGAAAAACATGTTTTGAAGTTGCACAACATTACCATTTCTACACTTGTGTAATATACAATAAAGACATTTTGCACGAAAGGGTGTTCCTCTACAATGCAAGACAAATCGACGTTGTCAATGCGCCAGCTGACTACTCATAGCTCCCAAGGACTCTCGGACGGTTTTGCAAAGCCCATGCTCAACAAATAGTCCAACTGACGCTTCACTTCTTCAAGCTCAAGTGGACTCAGCTTGTACAAAGGTCTACTCTCAATTTCAGCTCCTTCCTCAAGGTCAATATGAAATTCATGACCTTTACATACCGGAGGTACTCCTGCCGGC